AATATACTGCTACAAAAAAGTATCAGTTCTGAGGAGTTGTGATGTGAATTGAAACTAATCTATTTAGAATATGGTACTACACATCTACATATCTTACTCTAACGTATTTTAAAATATGTATTTTTAAAGATTTATTTATTCATTTACTGTCTGAGAGGCAGAGCAAACGGGGGATTAGGGAGGGAGGGCCAGAAGCTTCCCCTCTCTGGCTCACTTCCCACATGACTACCAACAGCTAGGTCTGGGCCAGGCAAAGCCAGGGCCCAGGAAATCCATCCTCTTACCCGCTTGAGTGGCAGGGGCCCAAGCACTTGGGCCACCCTCTGATGCCTTCCTAGGAGCATTAGCAGGGAGCTGCACAGAGTGGAGGGGCTGGGACTGAGACGGTCACTCTGGTAGGAGAGACCAGCATCATAAGCAGCAGCTTAACCCACTGTGCCACAATATTGGCCCCATATTTTTAAATTGAAATTGTTGGGTTAAAAAAAAAAAACCACTCTGACAGGACTTATTTTCACCTAAAATTAGTTGAAACTATTTAGTTATTAAAATGCTTGGGAAGAAAAGTTTAGTCATAGGGTATATGCAGAGAAACATTCATATTTTCCTATATGAAACATTGTATAAAACTGGTAAGAAAAGGGATGAAATCCAATAGGGGTGAAAGAAAAAAAAAAAAAAAAACGAACATGAAGAAACAGGGCTAATTAAAAATCAGGGGAAGTCCACACCAGTTGTTTGAGTGTTAAGAAAACCTCACAAGAATCTATGCTTGAACCACTGAGCTGGCATCATTTGGAGGGAGATGCCTTTCAGACTGGCACAGATACCGGGATGTGCATTCTCCAAGGACCGTGGGAATCTAAGAGCTACAGCCTGGTGGAATGAAACCCAGGAGCAGTTGCTAAAAAACCTCGTGCCACAGATGCCATTTGACTTCATATTATTTCATTTGCAAATCAATGCTAAGAGATTAGGGTTAAAGGCTTCAATTTAATGCTGAATATAAAGTTTTGATACCTATCAAAATGGGAAGACATTAGTATGTGGATGATTTAATAAATGTTATGGAATACTGCTTATCAAAACAAGATTACTTGAGAAGTCTGTTGTTGGATACAAAAGGTGCACTTGCTCTTAAGAGATAGAAGACAGTGATGTACAAGGGGGTATCTGGGATAAAGGCACAGATCTGGGGAAATAGTGGTTACGTTTAAAGCCACAATGGATGAGGTTGCCAGCATCAATAGATTCACATGCAGGAACCTGTGTAGATGCACTGGTGGGAAGAAGTGGGGGTGATAATTGAGGGTTTCTAACTTTGGGGTGTGGGAGGTTAAAGGAAGATAAAAAGATTTCTAGGCATAACAACTGCGCCTACTGGGGAAACACAGTGAGAGGGCATTACTTTGTCATCTGCCTGCTGGAGACTGGTGATCATGGCTCTAGCATGAAATCCACCTGCATTTGCTCTCCTGTTTTCCTTCTATGATCATCCAACTATCTGGTACAAGGACAGACAACTCAGAGAGTGGGTTCAAACAGGATGATGGACAGACATTTGTCACCTGAGTACAACAGAGTGTGGATGAGAGTGGAGAGGCTTCAGCAGTGAACCCTGGGGTGAGCATTGGGCAGACATGCAGGAAACAGTGGGGCCAGGGTGATGTGCTTCCGTGAACTTGTAGGGTTCCTGAACAAGTGGGCAGCATGTGCAATAGGTGGGAGATGGAAGGAGGCAAGCATAGAGGTGACATTCTTGAGAATGAGCACGAGCATGGGATTAGAAAGCTGTTAGTAGGTAAACTAGTGGCTTTCTGCTTGGTTCAGCTGGTGCAATCTTAGTTGTTGTCAAGGGATCAGCGAACTTGTAGACTATTCATTTTAAATCACTTTAACCTTCCTCAGGCTGCAGACAATGTTGCCTCAAACTCAAGTGCTTTGAGAAGAGTTGAACCAGGAGAGAAAGAGCCCTTGGCTCTCACGGGAGACAAAGGTAATGCCACAGGTATACCTCAGTTTATTAAAAGTGAAGTATATTCCCCAGGTCTCACGTGACACTGACACTTGAGCCAACTGCTCCTTAGAGGTCCAGTCCTCCCTCCTGCTTGCACTCCAGCTGGGGCCCCTGGCCAAGTCCATGGCTGTCAGATAGACTCTCACTACACATCCATCTGAAGGTACTTCTTGATTTCAGAGACATGAGACATCGACACCTTTGGTTATGGGTTGCTAACTTTCCTGCTACTTCCTGCTTCCACAAGCACATTTTATACTCCAGTTGTCTACATTTCTATAGAAGACAGAGTCAAAGAAGAGCCCCAGAACTAGGTCAGAGCCCATGCCAACAGATAGATCTGTTTCACCACCCTTATCCCTAACTACTCACTCTTTCAATATTCTCTTACACTGCTTTAAAGTTCTGTCTAATTTTAAAACATGGTCCATAGTGCACAATTCTGAAAACACAGAATGCTTTCTTCAGGTAACTGATAACATTGTAAACCAGAGACAACTACTGTTAGACTGTGAGTTCAGACTTTTCAGTATTGATGTGCTTTAGCATTGCACAGGAGACCATGAGTCTCTTGTAAGCATTAATTAGCAGGCACCCATGTCCCACACAAAGGTGTCCTCTGCCTCACAAGGACCACGTGTGTGGCTGCTGATGCACATCTCAGAAGTTCCTGCTTTCACTATGAATCACAACCATTTCCTGCATTGCAGCCAGGCTTGGAAGTGAATATGGTTTGGGGATATACAAAGAGCAGAATGAAAAAGAAATAGGCAGGAGGTGCCAGTGGAGGTCATGTCGGAAGGAACACCTGTAAGAATGTAGCCAAAATAACCTTGCGAGTAGATTAGACCAACAGAGCGGACAAGGGAACACCATGCGGGAAAATCGTATTTAGCAGGAACAGCTATTAAACTATGAATCATGATCCTTTTCAATAAACCCTTCTGATACCAAAATGGTCCTCACTCTGACTTCTACTCAGTCATCCTCAGAGTCTGGCTCCACATACATCTTTCAATGCACAGTTCCTTGACTAGTTCAGCCATAATGGAGTATGATTTCTGAATGCCTTTAGCACACCGTGCCACCTCTCCAGGGAAGTTAGCATTTATACTATTCACGCTTCCTTTCCATTTATAGACATGGCCACACTCAGTTTAGAAAACAATTGAGTTAGCAGTGAGTACTTGCTAATTACTTTGATAAACTCATCAAGAACATGGTTTCCAGGTGCTTGAAATTTTTTCATTAAAATTATTCATTCATTTTTAACTGCATCTTTCATATTGGTGGACAATAAGAATAACCTCAAATGATGTCACTGACAGGACATAGTCTTTTTTTAAAACATTTTCTGAATTTATGCTAATAATTCAACTCAAAGTAAGATAAGGTGGGGCATGTTTGCTGACCAACTGCTCCCTGACCCCCTATGTCTGGGTTGCTTTAGCTTGGTGCTTTTTCCCCAAGCCGCAGCGCTGCCTTCCACCAGGTGTGTGCGCTTCACCTAGAGAGAGCCCAGGTTCCTGGCAGGAATAATGCCAAGGACTCCAGGAATTCCCTCTGCAGAGGCAGAGAAAGAAGTATGACGATACGCGGCTAGTGCAGTAACACACAGAGGCAGTACGGACACCACCCTGGGCAGACTTCACCCAGATACAACCCCAAGATTTCAGATGCTTAACCAAAAGATGGTGTATTCTATATTCTTAGGCCACATCCTTCTTATTCATTAAATCTGAAAACTTCCAAACAGACCCGTGATTTCTGCTTGGAGTGAAAATTGTTCTGCGAGCTAAAAGCATGCTTCCTTTGGCAATTTTTAAGAGTAAGACATTTTTATTTTTATTAGAGTTTTTAAATTAAAGGTAAACAAATTTCATGCATTTCACACATACAGGTTTAGGAACATAGTGACTCTTCCCACCCTACCCTGCCTTAACCCCCTCCCACATTCCCACCCTTCCTCTTCCTTCCTCTCTCATTCCATCTCTTATTTTTGCAACGATTTACTTTTGATTCCAGTATACACCCTCCTCCAAAGACAAAATATTCCACCCTTCCCAACCATCATTTATTCAGTCACCATTAATGGAAAACTCAGCATTCACTCAAAACATGTGTTCCTTTAATATAGTAATTAAACTTAACATTGTGATGTCCTTTGCCAAGCAAACCCTCATCCAAAAAGGAAACAATTTGCTACAAATGCCATCTGTCATTTTAAGATCATGACATAAACGGACAAAACTTCTCACAAGTGCTACAGGAGGAAAATAAAATGTATATATAACAAGCCATTTGCATTAGAAATATGTCTTCCTCTTCATTATCACCACCCAGAAAAGGTTTAGAGGCAGGTGCTATCTAGCTCAGAAAATTCAGCTAAAATTCAGGCATTGAGGAAAAAAAAAAAACAGGTAACAAACTATTCTTCACACGTGAGCATCCGTGTGTAGCATGTGGCAGAGCCACTGGGGTCTCTGCACACTGCAAGGTGAATCAGGCAAGGACGAAAGTTTACCGTCAAGGAGATCCGTGAAGATCAAGCACCAGTCTAACCTCTGAGAGGTACAACTTGAAGGTAAAATAATGACTAAAGGACCTCAGCCACACATTAATACACTGGACTTTTATGTATCTTATTAATATATGCCGATACATATAAATTCTCCTCCTGTAGCATACAGAAAACAATTCCTTTCTATGTATTGCCTTTAAAAAATGTTTTCACTTGCAGTATTTTTTAAGTAAAAAAGCTTAGCTCTTAAATAGTTCTGTATGATGAGCATTGAGATCACACTAGCAATATTCTAGAGCCTGAAAAGAAGAAGAAACAGCCCGAGCCTGTAAAATGTCCTTCAAAGTCACCAGCCTATCTCAGTCATCTGGACATGGGATAGCACAAGACCCGCCTGAATTCTGCATCAACAATACTTCAAGAATACAAACAGCCACATAGCAAAACGCCAAGCTTACTTACAGCACTTGATAAAATGATAGTGAGACATCGTTCCATCTCAGACAGCAACCTTGCCACGGGTGCCAGCACTCTCCTCTGCTACCACAGTCGAGCCCAGGAAATGCATTATTTAGCCTCACTCAGGTAACAGTTTACCTCGGGATGCATTATTGAACAGAGGCTCCGCTCCATGATCCTGCCAAGAGCTTCCCACTCATTCTCATTCAGCAGCTGGAGCTCAGAGCAGCCTCCCGGGCGGGTTCTGCACCGCCACGGCTGCACGTGCTTTTGTAGCCCCCTTGATTGACACGGCTCCTAATGCCACGAGCCCGGGAACAGTCAGCTCTAATTGGCGCTCACATGCAGCCACCTTCCGCCGGCACGAGGTGTGCTGCAGTGCGGCTCTCCCTGTCCTGCCTGTTAATGGCTTTTCAATGGCTTTCAAAGGCTGATGAGTGTGCTGAAGCAAGCGAAGGCAGGGTCCTAAATCTCACTGCGCCCATTGTCCACCAGCCAAACATGGCCAGATTCGTAGCTGGTGGTAAAGCTGATTATTTTTAGTGGCCACCAGTTGCTGTGTGTGAATGGGCAACGGATAGCAGGTGCTCAAAATAGCCACATCTTACAATCACAGATCTTTTGATCTGCCTGTAGTCATGGACAGAAAAAAAAGACTACATTTCACAACATGTCTTTTTGGTGATCTCTGCAGAATGTGAAACTTAAATCATCCACATAAAGCTTTTGGTTTGCATTGCTTTAGAATTTAGGCTCCTGCTACCTCTGCAGACTGCAGTGAGTTTAACTGTGCAACCCAACTGGGTGAAGTGTGTCTGACTGACTTGGGTCTAGAAAAAAATATAGTGCGTGCAAGGGTTATTGTCATAAAAATAAATATGTTCACAGTGCAATAGGCGTATCGGTCAAAGCACAAGGTCGTATTTAAGTCACTTAAAGGTGCATGTGGATTAGCTTTTGTAAATGGGTACATTTTTATGATGATCTTTGAAAGCAAGTTGACACAGGCTAGCATTTGTGCTTCAGATGTGGAGACATGGCAAAGGTAAGCATGAACAGTATGTTAACGATCCACGTCCTTTTGGGACACAAGGATAAATCTTGAATCCCTCACTAAGGAAATCTCAGCACCTTTATTAAGTAAGATTATAAAACTTAAACCATGCAACCAAGAGTCATGACTATTACATTTTCACTGCTTTTTTAACATTCTAACCATTTTAGGAATGCAAAATAAACCACAAGTCCAAAGCTCCTATCGCAACTCCCTGAGTTCACTCAAGGTTCCTCCTTCCTGGAGGGTTGACCCAGGCCAGTTATTTCATCTCCTGGGCCAATGGCTCCTCGCCTGTGCCTGCTAACTACAACTTCTAATCCCCCTTCCCAAGATTGGAAATAAATATTCTAGAGTATGTTGTTGGTATTCAGCAAAAAGTTGCCGCTAACTTCAGCAAGGGAAGGAACCTGTAGCTATGAGGGAAGCACCAGCCAGGGTCACCTGAACTCCTTTTCCCAAGGGTTAGGACGAGGTTTTGCAGCCTCTCAAGGTGCTGACTCTTCATTTACTCTCTCATTCCACAACCGTCGAAAGTCATTGTCTTGCCAGTCACCATTTGGGGTGCTCTTCAGAAAATAAAAACGTCTCCTCAGTCTAATGTAACTGCCTTTAGATAAAATGGATGGTCAATTTTTAAAGATTCCCTCATATGCTTTGTAATGCCCAAGACTGCAAGTAAGGCCATCTCCCCTTAATCAAAGCTCATATTTGTATAGGCATAGTGACTGAGTTACGTGTGTTCCAGATCCTTCTAAATAGCCTCACCTTCACCTCTTTTATTTATTTCCAATTTTTTATTTATAGAAGGTGGATAAATGTCATATATTTCATATATGCAAATTTAGGAGCAGAGTAATACTTCCTACTCTACCCTCCCTCCTTTCTTTCCTATTCTTTTTATTTTTACAATGACACTCATTCAGTTTATTTGATAATCATAAGCTTAACCCTCCACTAAGTAAATAACTCAACAAACCGTAAGAAGGAAAAAACCCTGTTTCTAAAAAGTAGAGAAAAGGCTGTAAATAATAAATCTCAAAATGTCAGTTTCACTCATAAAATATCAGATAAACACTGTGGTGTCTACATACGTTCTTTAAATACTCAATTTTTTCAGTTTTCTGTAAATTGCAGACCACTGCATAGATGAAGCTTCATGTGCTAAACAGCCTAAGAAACTTACTTTATGAAAACTCTTTAAAATGAAAACAAAAAAGTGGATAAGATCCAGGGGCCAACGCTGTAGCATAGTGGGTAAAGCGGCTGCCTGCAGTGCCGGCATCCAATATGGACACCGGTTCAAGTCCTGGCTGCTCCACTTCCCATCCAGCTCTCTGCTGTGGCCTGGGAAAGCAGTGGAAGATGCCCCAAGTGCTTGGGCCCCTGCACCTGCGTGGGAGACCCGGAAGAAGCTCCTGGCTCCTAGCTTTGGATCGGCACAGCTCCAGCCGTTGTGGCCATCTGGGGAGTGAACCAGCAGATGGAAGTCCTCTCTCTCTCTCTCTCTCTCTCTCTCTCTCTCTCTCTTTCTCTTTCAAATAAATAAATAAATCTAAAAAATTGTATAAGATCTAGAGAAGGATGGTATGCACTGGACCAAGAAAATATGATGACTAGAGCATTAGAAAACTGTTTCAAATAAGCTAAACGACCTCTTGGGAGAACTCTGACCAAAGTGACCTGTGAGAAACTACACTTCCCTGCACACTCCTGGGGCTCTTTACCAAATGTGCTTACTTTTCATTTACTCATTTATTCCATGAACATTTGCCAAGTCATTGTTTGTTTCCAGAGATACATACAACCCTTCTTAGCCCTCAAAATGCCTAATATCTGGCAAAACATGAACCCTGACATCTGCACAGTGCAGGCTGCTCATCAGCAGGCAGCTGGAATTGGAAGTAGAGCCAGGACTCAAAGCTAAGCACTATGACATGGGATGCAGGCATCGGAAGCATCTTAACTGCTGGGCCAAACACCTGCTCCCTTTTCTCTTCGATACACCAAGCAGCTGTTCACTATTCACACTATTGCAGGTAACAATGCACAGCTTATTCTTATAAACGTCAGCTTACTATGCACCAGCTCTTTCCAAAGAAGTCTAAATTATTGCCCAGCCAAAAACAAACAAAAAAAAAGCAACCAAAGTGATTCTAGTGAATGACAGCATTTAAAAATTACAGATTTGCCTAGGAAATACATTTTAAAATGTGATATATAGACGCACATCCTTATGAAGCCCCCAGGGAAGATACTACCTTGTGTCCTCTTTAGAATCTGATTTGGAAGGTGTACGACCTGCAACTCTATTATAGATAATTGAATAGATAATCCCTAAATATAAAAGTTCCTGCATTTCACACATTATTAAAAGATGGAGTTAAAAACTCAAGGTTGCAAACTTCATCAGTTTAGACAGAGTGTATGTTCATCGGAGGTTATGAGAAGATTTCCAGGGGATATGAATTGCACGTGACAGCTTTGTGTAAGGCAAACTTGAGCTCTAGGACAGGAGCTGAGTGTCCCTGCCCTGAGAATAGGTTAGGGTTTACAAATTCTGGACACTGATAGAGAAAATCACACACTCGGGCTTGCACACCGTGCGCAGGGCACCCATGTACAGTGGCTGGATACTAAGTTTATGGTGTCCTCTGTCCAAGTATTGACCGCTTCTGGGTGGATGGAACCAAGATCTCCCATGGGATCGTGACTCTGGTCTACTAATTAAGGGTCCTTTGAGTTTTGTGGGGTCCTTTTCTGAAAGCTGGAGGAAAGACTGGAGTCATCAAAAACAAAAAGGAATAAATGAACTCACCCCTTGCAGTAAAATCGGACTTAATAGTAACCACAGGTGCTTCAGGACAAGGAACAAGCCTGCCTTGAACGAATGAACAAACCCCTGCCTTGCTGATCAAGCCCCCACATGTGGAGGCTGGTCTTGATTTCCTGCAGCTTATTATGTCTCTGGGCACCAGATTCATGCCTGCAGGTCTCTGTGCTCGCCTTAGCTTCAACCTTCTGGTTCCAATCAGGACAAACGGCCATTTAGTCAGCTGTGGGCAATCATGAGTCAAACAGCAGGTGTTTACAATCCAGATCCCCATGGCTGGAACAGCATAGAGGTTATTGTGGACGTTCCTCTGAGAGCCGAGCACCGAACCAGGTGAGCACTGCTTCAGAGCCGAAGCATGAACATGGAAGAGAAGGTCTAGAAAATACTCATCACCAGTTACTCTTATATTTTCATATAACAGCAGTGTCATGTGGATAAAGAATGCAACGTTAGACTTCTTCCACAAGACTGAAACTTATTCTTTAGGTAATGCAATATACAGTAGTACAATACCTTATGCATATATGTGCAGTGACATGGAGACACACACATACACTCCTACACAGGATATACGGGATAATTCTAATTGCTCCTTACAATCATCTGGTCACCTACATTCTTTTGTGACTTTTTTCCCCTAAACCAAATGAAATGATTTGAGTAATAATAGTGAGTATCAATACCAATTAAACTGGGTATCTAGGAAACGGAATTTGCAAAGCATTCATAAAGAGTTTCACTTCAATGGCAAAAAAACACTTTGAAATCTGTCCAGCATATTATAACTATCTGGGAGGACTTTTCCCTTTCAATGTCATTGCACCTCATTCAAATTTGACGTTCAAAGAGAGTTTGCATATCTTCACTATAAGAAAAGCACAGTGTTAGTTTATTGTGTCTGGCTCAACCTGACTTTCTGTACACGTGTGTATTAGGGGTGCATTGTGCAATCGGACAATTGGGCATCCCCTGCCTTATTCTTCCATCACTTTAGGGAGTATACATCTTTCTGTAACTAGCAGAATAGGCAAATAATGAAACTTTTATTGGTAACAGTTTAGTGATGCTATAAATAAGAGAGTTGGGTAGACCCCTATACAATGGCCGACCAGAAGATAGGATGTAAAGTTATTTCAATGACTTTTAAAAAGTAATCTCCATTTTTCTGAAAAGGATGAAAGGAATTTTGAGGCAATTAAATATGGAGCTTCCCCTTAATACTTAATATTAATCTTTAAAAGGTCACTTTAGTTGAATCATGTCTTTTTTTCACAATGTAATCATCCATGTACTTATCTATGTACCTACGGAGTTACTCAATTTTATACATTCTCAAAATTCACTTCAAGCCCATTTAATCCACAAACTATTCCAGCTTTTGACTTCCACTAGTCTTAACCTTCTCTGCATCCAATATTCATTTTTTCCATGTACCAGTCAATCCAGCACTCACAGCACAATGCTCCATATTTTTCTTAATTGCATCAGAGAAGCTACTTCCTAGCTCAGAAATTAGTTGAGGCTTAGATCTTTTCCCCTCTGTTTCCTAAATATCAGAGGCCACAAAGGAAGAGCCAGAGAATTGCTCTAAAGCGTCCCCTAGAGGTGACACTTAGTGTCTGGAGGAGGACGTTCTCAAAGGCAGATTATGAACACTTAGCCAAGTGTCATTTACTACGCTTGAGAAAGAAAGAAGATGAGCAGGATGACAGCCTCTTCCTCCTGTGAGAACGTGGGCCAGGAGGGCTTGCTGTACTTGGCTCTTCAATGTTATTCATGCAGCCTCCTTTAGAATGGGCCACAGGACACTATGGGAAGCCACTAAGGGTGGCTTCCGTCTTCTAAATGACTTTCCTGGTTGAAGATTCCTCCCTGGGATACAGCAGACAATGCTTGGTCTCTAGAGAAGTCCCCCAAATTGACAGTATTTTTAAAGAAAGAAACGTACAGTGAACTAATCAAATTCGTAAATGATAAAAAGTATTTCCCAAAAACAGTCAATAGCTTTCTGGAGTACACTGAAATATTACTCAGTGTAGGGCTATAATTCTCTTGAAATATTGCCTCAAGTCTGAACAGTCTTGCATATCAGAACAGCCCTGGCACCCTGGTTAGAGCTATGTACAGGAAACACGCCTGGGAGGCTGGAGGGAGCACAGAGCTCTGTAGAACCCTGGAGAATCCCCTTCAAAATTCCCTCACGTTCCATGGTGATTCAGGAGGAGACTTG